AAGTCAGGGCATGGCTAACTCACAGATTGAATTTGAATTTACTGTGTTGGGTTTAGCGAAGGGTGGAAGACAGGAGTACCTGGAGAAATACCCTCGAATCAAGGTATAGAACAAAGTCTATTCAAATGTGATGCTGAATCCATGAATCGAACCAAAGGCCCCAGAGATGAGCCTATGTTTCATCCGAACTTAACCAGGGTTTAGTTCGGATGCAACACAGGGTACCCAGAGGTAAAAGACGAGTGCTGTACTGCTCCGCYTCCTTTGAATCCATTCTAACGCGCATGCTTTACAATCACAGGCAGAAGGTGCCGAACAAAGCCGAGATGAGCCCGAGGCAATGGATGAAGAATCGGCGTCTGCTGCAATTGCTCAACTCAACTTGACAGGCGCGAAAAAGAAGAAAAAGAAACGAAAGTAAATAAAGAGGTTTTTTATGAATCTGTCGCTATTATTTTTATTTTGTGGAGAAAGGACGTCAATGGTTCGATTATTTTCGCTGACAAATTCCGGGGGGKGGTGGTTGCCCAATTCTCCTGAGCAAAGAGCTCATGTTTAATGCGCTCGAAGGTGCGCCCTCTACCCCCTCTTAGGCCCCGTTCAGCAGCAGTATGGGGGACTCGCGGAGGGGGTACCGGGGGAGCCGGGTATTACCCCCGCCAAGTACCAAAGGGCCCCAGCGGGTATTATTCGTGTTGGCCTTCTGGGTATTGCTCGCGCAATTTAAGTCGAAAAGCTGCGTATGGGTTTTATTGGTGCCCCGTATTACTAAGAAGTTAAAATATTTGTGTTATATACGATGAAGGAGAGAAAGGCGTTGGTTTGTCCAAAATGTAGTAAGAGATTCACGAAGGCTGGTCTAATTTCTCATTTACGTAGGAAAGTCTCCTGCGATATGGAGGTAACTTGCATGATGACTCATAAGTTTTCCAACGACAACGAGGATTACAWAAGGGAGTTAATGAAAAAACCCGCGGTGGTTCCTAAATTTGCTTTCAGTTGTTCTTGTGGAAAGACTTACAAGATCGAATATCAGTTCAAGATACACCAAGCTACGTGCAGTGCCGCGAATGTAGGTTAAAATATTTCCTAGATATAGATGGACGCCATCAAAAGCATTCAAAACAAAACTGTGCGCAAACTGCGAACCCAGGTGCTGAATCGTTTGGACGCTGACTTCGCCTTCACGACGTTTATGGAGGGAGATACGGACGAGACTATGGACGACGCAAGGGCTGAAAAGATAATCGACTTAATGCCCGAAGGCAACTACCGCTTAGAATTTATAAGAGTATATTTTTGCCCATTGTTTCGGCAACCATTTTCGGCTACSTTTTCTACTCTCGTAGACACATTTTTGCACAAAGTAGTATTTTTTGTGTCCACTGCGCTGGTAGCAACCCCAGGAATGTCCGTGGGATAGCAAGGGGGGCCCCGAAACAGTGCCCCCGTAGCAAGGGGTCGTAAATCGCGACACCGCTGCATGGAGAAACACCGACGTGAATAGAGAGGAACGATTCGTTCTCATTCTACTATCTACGTCGCGGTAGTTGTGCCAAAGTTGCTACGTAGCCCGGTATGCGAAATCTGTAGAGGCCTTCCAAGATCTCCAAAAGTATTTGCGTTGCCCTTTGTCTTCCTAGCATGTATGCGACCATACCCGCAGCTATGTAGAGATACATCTATATACCTATGGATCCACGGAATACCCCTATGGATCCATAGGTACCTAGCTATGTTCGAACCGTATTCGTAGATATATATGGCAACACCCAAAATACTATCCGAGGAAGAAATCGCAGGATTGTTGGAAGATAGGAGAAATGGAGTAGGGCTGCAAAAGGTAGCCAAAAAGTACGGCATAGGCATACCAAAGATACGCAGGATAGAGCGAGAAAATGGTCTGGAGGTAGCAATTCCCGAAAAGCCTCCAACTACGGATTTGCAGAAACATTTCCTAGAAGTGCAGGATTCCTTTGCTATAGTCCTCGACGATCTCCAAAAAGCTAGAGAAGAACTCCGAGACGCAAAGGAGGAACTACTAGCCAAAATGGAGCAGGAAGAAGATTGGTTCGAGAAAATAGACGCAGAGGATTTGCCCGAAGAAGTAGAGGAAGTATCCACAAAAATAGACTGGCAAATAGCCGGCAATGTACTATTTGCCGCCTTGGGCATTGCTGCCGTCGTTTGGGCGCGCATGCAACCATCCAAAGTAGTCTACTACAGACATCCAGCGGAGGATACGAAACCGCAGAGAAATTCTAGGATTCCGGAGATGGAGTAGAGACGTGCACCAGTCGGTCTTTCTTCTTTGCTTTGGTAGTCTTTTCTCTGCCTATCTTGCAGTACAAAGGCGGCTGCCATGTCCAGTCTATTTTTTGCTCGTCCAAGAAATGCCCCCAGACTGGAGTGGTAGCATGTTCCACTGTGCAGCCCTCCAAAACGCACTCCGAGCATTTTTCGGAGAGAAACAGGATTGTCCTTTATTTTTTTCTGTAGGTGGTTTTGGCGTATTTCCAGCATTGGTATTCGCCTGGATGCATATGTAGCGCCTGTACACATTCTTTGTTGGGTGGCGCAGGCACTTGTAGTAGTCTTTCCGGGTGTTTGGGATGTTCTACTTTCCTAGCCAATTCGTAGTACGTATCCAAACCAGGTCCTTCGGGCACGAAGGCAGTGGCTATGTTGTTCTGCCACTCCACCAATATTTCTTCTCCTGGTATGGCGGTGCGTATGTTGCCGTTGGCTTCGAACTTTCCAGCCGCACACGCGTCCAATAGGGCTTCCGTGGCCCATGCTACGGAAGTTTCTCTATTCCTTCGCAATACTACGCGGTGCCCTCTTGCCAACCAGTTGGCATCCAAATCTCTGGGGATCGCATATCCTAGTATCTTGTAGTCTCCTGCAGGTATTTGCTCCATCCTATGCACTTTGGCCCTAGGCGTCTCCTCTCCAAAGAACAACTTGCGCAGATTGTCTGTTCTTCTGGAAATCCTATCCAATGTTTTCCTGTATTTCTCCAACTCTTTTTCTATTCTTTTTCTGTCCTCTTCCTTCTGCCGCAGGATGGACTGCCTTTGTTCCGACAGTTCTGCGTGGTATCTTCTTGTGGCTTCGACCCACTCGTCTCCCTCTAAATCGTCCCGTATGTCTTCCAATCGCTGCTGTCTCTTTCTTTTGGACAGGAAGGATATCCTGCGGTCCGTAGGCACTTCTAGTATTCCGAAGAGACTCTTTTCTATGCCTATCTTTTGTGCCTTCTTTGTGCGCCAAACCCACTCCACGTGTTCCGTAGTTGGGAGAAAGTCTGCGATTGTAGGAGGATCTTTGTGCACGCGGGTGGGTTTGTTAGACTCCGCCAACACCGTAGGGGAATCTTTGGTGTAGCATCGCAGCGGTAGTATGTCCACAGGGTCCAATCCTCGCACATCTATGCGGAATATGGGGCATTTGCGCAGGCCAAACTCTGCTATGGTCCAAAGTACGCACTGTTCCCATTTTTCGTTGCCTCGCACGCGTATGCCGGCTATCCTACCTGTCTCCGCGTGGCAGTACCAAGCTAGGAAGATTTCTTTTGTCTCCTCGCAGCAAATACACAAACATCTATCCAAGTGTTCCGCGAGTGCCAACCACATGTTCTTTGGCGGTTGTACTACAAATATGTCTGCTAGAGGTTCTATAGTCTCCGCGATGGCATTTGTGTTTTCTTTGGAGAAATCCCTGCCGTAGATGGATATTTCCACTCTGCTGCATCCTCTTTTCTGCACGTCTGGGTGCAGGAATGTCTTACGCAGGTGGTCGTTGGGGCAATCCACGTACTCTGCCAACTTTGCTCCTACTGGATCCTGCACTTCTCCGGCCTCGAAGTTCGATACTATTTTGTTGTATATCTTGGTCCTTTTGCCGTCTTCCATCCAAGTACAAACGTGGCTGCCTACTTGGTGCGTGTTGTCCAAAATAGTCCCTTTGCGTCCACCCAGTTCTCCTTGCATTTCGTAGCCCAGCTGTAGAAGTCTGCGCACCAAAGCTTTTCTATCCAAAGTACCGGAGAAATCCTGTGTGTAGTCCACGGAATAGATACCATATCCGTGCGCATCTAGCAAAGTAGCAAACTTGGGTATCTTTTCCTCTACGGTTTCTATGGACAATTCCGAGGTGTCTACTTTGGCTACGAAAACCGCTGCGGGTTCTCCGTGCAAACTGGACCACTTGGCTGCCATATGGGAGACGTGATCTACTATTTTTCCTTGCCTGCAACTGTGTACTATTTGGACATGTAGGAACGTACCAAATGCCTCCCGGGTCGCAGTGGATATTTTGGAGACCAAGGTCTTCGCGTTTCTGCATATGCGCCCATACATGTCGTTTTCTGCGACAAATCCATAGACAAACACATCGTCTACAAACGGTGGCAATCCGGATAGCGGTTGCAGGCTGGTAGTACCTTCGTTCCCACGCAAATAGTCGCACTTGGATATGTCTGGTAGTAGATTCCCGTCGTATGCATTGTCCAACAGCAAATGTGCTAGCACCCTATTCTTCGCACGTTTACCCATCTCCTGCAATGTTGCCGAAATACTCTTTTGCTCTTCCATGTATATATAGGCGTCGAAGGTTTTTTGGCTACTAGTACAAGGGGAAAGAATCGTTACCCTTAGCCCACCCAACCTTTTCTTGTGTTTCTCCATGCAAAGGTAGCGGTGTTTCGCATCACGGACATTCCTGGGGTTGCTACCAGCGCAGAGGGCACAAAAAATACTACTTTGTGCAAAAATGTGTCTACGAGAGTAGAAAACGTAGCCGAAAATGGTTGCCGAAACAATGGGCAAAAATATGCTCTTATAACCAACTTTCCTACGCAGTTACCAGGATGTCGCATTGGTTTGAGCTTCTTAACGTCTGGTTCTCTAATCTTGTAGGCACCGTAGATAACGACGGTAACAGGGTAAGCAACTTCGTAGAACAGCATGTCAATTCCCACCAGCGCTCCTGGTCGCGTTTGCTTATTTAAGACAAACAGGTTCTGCTTACCAGACGCTCGGATAGGATTTCGGCCTCTTTCTATTACCCAGTCACCGTCTAGGTACTTTATGAACGTTAATTCTAAGCGGTAGTTGCCTTCGGGCATTAAGTCGATTATCTTTTCAGCCCTTGTACGTCGTCCATAGTCTCGTCCGTATCTCCCTCCATAAACGTCGTGAAGGCGAAGTCAGCGTCCAAACGATTCAGCACCTGGGTTCGCAGTTTGCGCACAGTTTTGTTTTGAATGCTTTTGATGGCGTCCATCTATATCTAGGAAATATTTTAACCTACATTCGCGGCACTGCACGTAGCTTGGTGTATCTTGAACTGATATTCGATCTTGTAAATCTTTCCACAAGAACAACTGAAAGCAAATTTAGGAACCACCGCGGGTTTTTTCATTAACTCCCTTWTGTAATCCTCGTTGTCGTTGGAAAACTTATGAGTCATCATGCAAGTTACCTCCATATCGCAGGAGACTTTCCTACGTAAATGAGAAATTAGACCAGCCTTCGTGAATCTCTTACTACATTTTGGACAAACCAACGCCTTTCTCTCCTTCATCGTATATAACACAAATATTTTAACTTCTTAGTAATACGGGGCACCAATAAAACCCATACGCAGCTTTTCGACTTAAATTGCGCGAGCAATACCCAGAAGGCCAACACGAATAATACCCGCGGGGGCCCTTTGGTACTTGGCGGGGGTAATACCCGGCTCCCCCGGTACCCCCTCCGCGAGTCCCTCATACTGCTGCTCGTCCACACTATGCCGGATAAATTTGAATCCGAATTTTTATTTATTCGGTTAGGCCTACCGTCCACACTAGTCCGGGCAAATTCGGAACAATTCTTCACCGAAAACAAATTTTTTCGAATACGATCTCCAGAGTGGAACAATTTGAAAACGCCGGCTAGCCGTATTAGTGTGGACGGAGAACATTTCGTACCCGAAATTTTTCGAATACGATGACGTCGTGATTGTTATGGGAACATGGCGGGAAGGCTAAAAATTCACCACGGGCTCAATTTCAGCTTCGATGCACATGTTCAGATGTGCAATGAAGCGTTTTTGCGCCTCTGATCGGACTAGTGCGGACGCGAAACATTTTATTTGTTTTCATGAGTGGACGGAAAACTTTTTTTTCGGTTTCGGTGTGAAAGTTGCGGATTCAAATTTATCCGGCATAGTGTGTGGATGGGGCCTTACTATCAGTGCTCCTTCTTACGAGTATTTAAAACAACACAGAACAGAGAGAAGTCGAAACAGACGTGGAGTTCCTGAGGATCGAACTATGGACCTCTAGCTCTGAAGGCCGCGCACTAACCAACTGAGCTACGCCTACTCCTAACGTTGATAAGTGACGGTGATATTTTTCCATCCTTCGAATCCACAGTAGCGGCAGGAGAGGGGTGTAGTCCCCAGGTTATATACGCTCTTTCGCCATTCGATTATCATTAATCTGAAGCTGAAGAGCCATATATCGCTATGACGTCAAAAAAGTCAATGTTCTTCACCATTCTGCCCGCCTTATGAACCAGCTGTGACGTCATAGTGAAATCGAGCAATCTCTTTCATCGTATACATCTTGTGAAAAGCGTTAGTATTAACGACAGGACAACTTCACTTCCACAATATAAAACTGTTGTTTATTACGCGATAGTAATGTATATTAGAAATTAGAATAAAATTCTAAAATCAAACAAAATGGTATGCCACAGGATCGGCTATTGGTCCACCAAAAAAATCTGAGACTTTGAGATGTACTCCCTCCCTTATTAATATATTAATAATAATTATTATTAATCACCTCCCATTTTCTTCCCAACCCTTCCCTTGCTCGTTTTTATTGAAAACTACTAAAAAATAAAACATTTAACGATACAATAATTAGAAATAAACCAAAATAAATGACTATTTAACTACAACATCTTTTGATGCTTTAATCAAAGACGTTACTCAACACAATCAGGTTCACGCCGGTGGCTTTGCGATTCGATTATTTACACAAAATGAATGGATGATAAAGTGATATGAATGCGTTTTATATACAAATAAATGGTGGAGTGATTATCATTCGAGAGTGCATTGGATGACGGTGACGTACTCGCTGTGACGTATCCCGAACGTTGAGGCAGGTGCGGAGGGTTTGTTGAGGATGACCTGCGCGAATAATAAAGGAAAAGCATCGTTAGTATTTTATTATCAGGCGTTTTGAAAGACCAACATGACGTATCTCTTCTGACTGTACTTCTATTACCACTCTATCATTAATACAATATACCACTGCTACTGGTACTAGTTCATCTTTACTTTGACTGCTGCTTCTACTAATACTACAGTACTATTACATAATAACTAAACTACTACAACCTACTACTGCTGCAGTTGCTGGTGCTGCTGCTGCTGCTGCTGCTACAAACTACTACTACTACTACTACTGCTGCTGCTGCAGTTGCTGGTGCTTTTACTACTATAATTACTATAATACATTGTCTCTGCCTGCTGCTAGCTGCTTTCCATGATGCTATTACTACTACTACTGCTACTACTGCTGCTGCAGTTGCTGGTGCTTTTACTACTATAACTACTATAATACATTGTCTCTGCCTGCTGCTAGCTCTTACTGCTGAATATTGTTGCTACCACTACCAATATTACGATGGTTTTAGCATAACATTTCCTGTATCTCAACTCGTCTGTCTCTTTTTGATTGCCTTTTTATGAGAATCTAATCCAAAATCATACCAAATTGCCGGCTTCAAAATATGTAAGATAAAAATTTAGTCGACTTCTTGAGCTTCTGTGACGAGTGGTAGGGTGTATTCTGAATGACGAACACCAAAAGAGATCTTCGGTGCTATCTTCTTGTCTACTACCACCTGATATTAATAAATCGCATTTCGCAAAATGTAATGACTTCATGATTAGGATATGATATAATCACTTTGAAGTATTACGATTAAGAGGATTGCCTTTCTTTAAATGGCTGCAATGGCTGCGCATATTTGTAATGTTTATTTTATCATACGACATGCGCGCCTATGGTAGAACCCCTCTTAACCCTTATACAATACTGACATAATCATACGACATGCGCGCCTATGGTAGAACCCCTCCATACCCTTATACAATACTGACATAATCATACGACATGCGCGCCTATCGTAGAACCCCTCTTAACCCTTATACAATACTGACATTATCATACGACATGCGCGCCTATCATAGAACCCCTCTATACCCTTATACACTACTGATATCATCACACTGACATACGCGCCGATAGCAAAACTCCTCTATACCCTTATACACTCCTGACATCATCACGCTGACATACGCGCCGATAGCAGAACTCCTCTATGCCCTTATACACTCCTGACATCACCAC